CCCAAATTAATGGTCTTCAGCAAATCACAAATTCAAAGAAAATTATTAAGGATAATAAGAATAAAGGATCATTTGCATTCCGTAACAAAGATCATTGGGATCATAAGTTCAACAGCAAATGAAATGTTTGAGAAAAAATAACACATACTTCAATTGTCTGCAAAAGAACATGCAACAAATAATTATAACAGAAAGAAGCTATTACATTTTAATTGCAAAAGTTGCACAAAACTGCACTGTGTTGCGTGAAATACGATGTACAAATCTACTGGATCAAAAAAAAAAAGAAAACTGACCTATTATAATTAATTCAATAACTTAATTAGCAGATCAAAAAGATGAATTTTACTTTTCTATAAAGAGACCAAAATAGTTAACTCAAAGTAACAGAAATCCAAGAATTTTTAACTTTATTTGATACTGGTTCATAATTATTCTTTATATCGAAGAAATTAGCAAATGAATTAAAGTTCGAAGAAATCAAAAGAGAAATTTAAAAAATTTTCTCTTTTGGTAACAAAATTCCGAAGTCTGTCGGATTGCCAAACTAGAAAGTAGAAATCAGAGTAAGAACAGGAATCACAATTCTTAAAGCTTTTGTGTTAGATTATTTAACAGATAAACTACAAACAGTTAGATCGAATTATGTAATTTGTCACTTAAAATATTCCGAGAACAGTTTATGAGAAAGGAGAATATTGAAAATAGCCCGATATATTTATTTAACCTCTCTGACTTCATTCAGCCAAATGAAATTCATAACACCGTATCAGAATTCTGCTTGATTCTTACAAAAATTGGTCTTATGATAGGTAGAAGTGAACGCATAAATTTTTTTTTTTTTTTTTTTGGTAGTTCTAGCAAAAAACAGATCCATACCAAACTAGATATAGCTCCTAAAAAAGTTAAATCGATAAAAATGGCTAGTATTATTTTTTAAATATGGATCGATTCTACAAATTAGAATTCATAAGCAGATAGGAACAATCTAATTCATGATCTTAAATAGACACTAGAACGATTTAAATATCAAATTTTTTCACCATGGGAACAAAAATCAAGTTGAGAACTATTGTGGTCTATGCTTTGCTCATTTAAAATCGTTAATGAAACTACTTTAGGAAGAAAAATACCTAACTACTTCAACACTATATAATTAAGTTGTAATGAATTACAATCCAATACAACTGAAAAGATATACTGAAATGGACGAAGTTGGTACTATTCACTATTTACCTCACTATGAAGTAATAACTTTTGTGAAAAGCCACAGCAAAATTAAGAATCGTTTAAGACTCTTCAGTTCACCTTGCATCGTGGAGAATTTTAAAAATTTTGTTATTTTTAAGTGAGGATTACTGATATCGGGGGGATCCGTTGGATGTTAATATCTGGGAGTAGATGTTAATAATAAGAATTCCTTTATCAATAGAAGCAACAATACAATAAATTTGGTAGAGAAGAACTGAAGTACAATAGCGAAAATCCTTTTTGTAGTCGAACTGCCCCTTAGTTCAACTCTCCTGGTTCTTGGTAAAAACACTGAATATGAGTGACTTTCTTATATAGATAGCAAGGAAATGTATAGACAAAATACATGACTTATAATAAGTTAACCTGCCGAAAGAGTAATCGATCTAACAAAGAGCCGTTGACCTGGTTTACAAGTAAATCTAACAAGCCACAAAGGACATCAGTTAAGCAAAAGTTGTTAACCTCGTAGATTCAAGCATAATTTACATTTAACAGCGATAAAATAATGAGGTCAACTAAATTAGTTGATATCATGTAAACAATGTTGTATGAAAGGTTTGCAGCCTAAACATAAGATTGGGAACGAAGTTTAAGGTATAAACATTATTTTGCAAATTCATAGAATATATTTCTTATTCATATTTCCTACTTCCATATAATATTTTAGAGTCCCACGACATTAAAATCTGTGATACCTTGAACGAATCAACGATATACTATGTCTCGTAGGACCGATTATTCTCCCACGATGACGAAAATCTTGATAACGATATTTTTTTTAAAAAAGGATTTGAAAAAGCACTTTTGCAGCCGAAACCGCCTCCGCCAGAATGAAACTATACTCAAGTTTTTTGGTTAACGAATATTCAAGGACAATTAACCGAAAACAATATAGTGTGTTAATATTCTCAAAGAGTTTCATTTAAAATGATATCATCTTAACCGTCATCCAGAAATTTATGAAAGCGAAATTGCCTTAGATCAGAAAAAAATCTTTACGACAGTGTTATGCTATCAACTAAAGGAACTGAAGAAGCACTCAACATAATTATGAATAAATCTACTTTTAAAAAAGCTTAATAAACGTAAGAGAATTTCTTTCAAATGAGAAAGATCAATTTATAGAAAGATCAATTTTACAAAAATCAATTTAAGAAAATCCTTGGTGTTAACTAGAGTCCCAAAAGGTTTTTCCCAAAATGTTTCCTCATCTAAAAACCATAGAATGAAAGAGGTCTAACAAAAAGAACAATCTACCACTTATAATGTCTCAATATAATACATTCAGATTTTTCATTCCAATTATGATACAATTCAAATTATTTCTTCAAAATTTATGAAAAAATTCTTGGAATCCGTCCATAAGTAAAGAAGGTAAAGATACATAGGAATCTTTAACAAGTGAATGGACCAGCAAGCGTAAAGGAATTACTGTGATTTGCAATATACTTCGAAACAAATGCAACACCATGTCTTCACAAGTGTTTTGTATTAGCATATTTACAAGTTTGTAAAATGATTTGGTGTTGTCTATGGGCGAAATCATATATATATATACAGATTTCTAAAATGAAAAAAAAAAATGTTTCATGCAGAAATGAGTTGCACTAGTTTTGTTATGCATTGAAAATGATTGGAATCATTCAGTCAGCGTTTCCAATCATTTCGAGCGACAAAAATAATGGGGATCTTGTGTCAACTTGCTTGCTCACTTTGAGAATTGATAAAAATGTCTGTGACATCAATGAGGACAGTGGGTGGACAAAACTTTGTCTGCTATCACCGTGCGATAATAAAAGAAAGCATTGATGAATATAAAAACAGAGTACAGATAGTAAGATTACTATGAATGTAGATGGGTCTGTTATGATGAACATAGAGAAAAAGAGAATGGTTCTTGCTATTCATTCTGTAAAGACAATGTTTATAATGATAAAAAGTCAGTTTTTTTTATGATAATTAATAAACTTAAAAAAATCTAACATTTTGCCTTATTGCTTTTCATTACGATCATAATTTTTCTGTTTTGATAATCAAAAGATGCAGATAAAAGCTATAAAATATTGAAGAAGTGCCATGATTTATGCATTTTTAACATGTTTTTAAAGGTGAAATGAGTTCTTCCTGGTTTGAAGATTTCGTCTATTACTTTTGTGTGGCATTAAAGCCGTATGTATATACATGAACATTCCTCGCTAAATTAATTTATGATTTAAATTTCTTTTAGATACGAAGTAATAACATGGGGAATAGATTGATAACTTCCAACTCAGCAGTTCAAAGTAATACTGATTATTTTTTACTATACAACTTCATTAAATTTTGAAAATCATGTTTTTATAAAACTCACTGCTTTATTCATAAAAATTGTTTTATAGATGAAATGTTATTAGCACAGAAAGCTCATTTTATTTTTTTATTTATTTATAAGGGGGTAAAAAGAGGAATAAAGTGATTACTTCGCAACCTTCTTGTCCTGTTATACTCGCCAATAAAAATTACCCCAAGTATTTCGTGCTATTCCACACTATTAGTAAAAAAATCAACTACAGCGGTTGACCCTACTACTCATAAACTACTCAGAACTGTTTTATTATGCCCAGGAAGAAATCCTCTTCCAAAGGAGATAACCAACCTTTGTCGGAAAACCGAAAAAATATTTATTACACACACTAAGTATTTATTACACAATAAATGTGAATCGATACAGTATACAGTATACAATATACAGTATACAGCATACAGCCGAATAACTGCTAATGATTCATCACTATAAACCAATTCGTTATTCCTTTATTATATTCCATTTTTTGAAATAATGAATCCTTTATCTGAACCTGAAATTGTAAATGCACATCTGTCTCCATTGTAAATGTTAATCTGCCAAGCCAGCCCACTTCTTAGATCTTTAAAAATCTTCTCTGATCAGTTAATTAAAAAAAGGATCGATGGCAGCCTTCTCTTCCTCTTACTCAACAGTACCATTTACTCCTTCGCTGTTTCAATTATTCGACTGTATACTGCATCTATTCACATTTATAAAGAAAATAAACCGTATCTGGTTCGATCTCGCTCGCAGATAAGAAGCAAAAGTTCAAGTTCTACAGACTTAAAGTAAGTCAAGTGAACTTAATTAACCTAAATTATCTACTCTTCTGATCAAAAAGTTACTTCAAATTCACGACAACCTTCACTAATTATTATATTTATCAAACCAAAGCTTTATCAAAACAAAAATAAAATTCACAATAATTTATTCTATTTTTCATCCAATTCATATGTAAATCCTTCTAGCTCAAGTTTATATGCCTTAAACGCCTGATAAACTCATACCTTAAATACTTGGTAAATCATTTTAATATTTTGATACTTTTTGGTAAATTGATTGACATGGAAATGTATATAGCTAAATTTATATTTAATGCTTTTTTTGCTTGTGTTACTTATTCCTTCTTCTATCATACTTATCTACTCTGCACGAGGAGTCTTTGTTTCGACAATTAGACAACTATGCTTTCCCAAATTGCGACTCAATCAATTTTCATTAAAACATCGAAAAATCATTAGTAATCAAGAAATCTTTATCTATTGACTAATAACTGCCATATAATATTATTACCACTCTTATAGAAAGAATAAACATTACAATAATTGTGTCTCTAAATAACAAATTATTCAAATCATGGAAGTTCCATAATTCTTGTAGAATTAGGGTTTATAAAAAGATGCATTGTCAGCAATCTCGTTCAATGGATATAACGCAAAAGGCATCGAATTATCATACCAAGGCTAAAACCTGATTCAATTTGAAGAGAAAATAAATGCAAAAATAATTGTTGAACGTTATAAATTTATTTGGGATATATTTTCTTTCTCGTTGTAACATATTCTTTCTCTACATTCTCTTGCTGATATTTCACTATTAACATTCAGGAAATGAGATCATACGAGGAGGGATTTCTATAAGGAAACTCCAACGTTCGCGGATGAATCACTTTGCTGTTTATTTTATATTTTGACCAATGAATGACGCCACACACAAACGCGAGTGACTTTTTCAATTGATTTTTCCAAACTTTCTCAACTAAGAAGATAGCATGCAACATCAACGACTTCCGAGATTGTTTTCTTTCAGAGGTCGCAATATGCAGAGATTAAATTCTGTGAAGCAGACGAGAGCCTCGGAGAAGCATCATGACCGGTCGCGAAAGTTCAAAACGACCAATTCGGAGCAATCACAGAAGCTTTAGCAACTATAAGGACAGTTCTTAATAAACTCGATTGTCTAATGAACTAACAGTTATCGTTTTAAGATTCCTCTCGTCCAAGAAACAACTACGAATCATTTCTAGTTGGTTGTGATGTGTAATAAAAATTGATTATATAAATAACAACGACTGTTCATGGGGATAGTTGTTCTTTTACACAGTACATTTTTTAGATGAACTAGAAAGCTACAAGCGAACTTGGATGGAAGAAGGTCAAAATTATTGTTCGATGTCTTACAATCAATTAGTTCCCTGAATCCAGTGAAACCACTGCATCTTAGTTACATTTAACAAATCACTGAAGTGTTTTCAATCCTCATAAATCAACGAAAAGAGATTGATTTCCCTCACAATACCGCCTGATATCAGACAATCATACATTAGGCAACCAACGTTTCGGAAGTTGAATTACGAAGATTTGTTTCCTTTACCGGAGTTCTCACTAATGAAATACTTTTTCAAATATCTCTTTATATTGGAAATGATTCTACAAACAACAGGATCAGGAATTCCTTCCAAAAATTCTCGGATTATGAAATAAAGGTTTCTTTGTTGCACGAATTTTTTCTTGTTGGTAAAATAAATATGTTTCAGTCTTTCAGAAATTTAAAATGAAGGCTTAAAAAAAAACGCCTTTTCGTTAACTTGAATTATTTTTTTTTAAAGAAAAAAAAACTCGAATTCGAATTACTGTTTGAAGAGAAAAACAAGCAATTTTTATAGAATTTATGATGTAATTTTTTATGAATTTATCCTTAGTTAAATTCATAGATAAAGGGCGTAGAAACTCACCTCAAAATTGCAACTATTCCAGAAGGCATAACTTTACCAGACTGGATGAAACGAGCGCCCATTATCAGTGTAAGGCCAGAACTAACGGCTGTAAAATAGATTATTAAAAGTACAAAAGTAATAAAATAAATCGTGTAATAAAATATAAAAATAGCGGTTGTACTTGGTAACTGTTAAAATGCAATGTCTAAAAATTCACGTAACTAAGTTGGTAACTAATGAGTAGACCACCATGATATATGTATCTTCGGTCAATTTATTTCGTCTCGTAAATATTTTCTTTATGATAATGGTCTCAAGTTGGATAATAAAAGAAAATTACTAAACTGAAGAATGGATCTCAACCTTGTAAAGCAAAACAATTGTTCAGTGAAAGGCCTTTTGTTTAGAAATGACTAGCTATTTAAACTTTCTGTGCTTCCTATAAAATCCCTCTAATCTTAATGTTGATAATTCGAGTTTCTAAGTGGAACTAATGAAGGTTAAGCAAGACCTACCTAAAAGCATGCAGTTGTTGTTGAATTGAGCACCAAAACCTGCAGTACCTCCAAAAACAAGTCCAGCTGCCAGCGATGCGGTACTGCCTGAATGGAACCAAAAAACTTACTCCTTCTTAAAACCAAATTTCCCCTCCACTGTTACTGAAGTTGCTAAATAAACGTAGCAATCATAAAGATCTGAGGAATAATCAATTAATGTTTGTTAATAGCCATAATGATATAATACTAGTGGGAAAGGTATTAAAATTACCTGCTTTCAAGTAACCAACGAAACCGCCAACTATGATAATGCCTGCATAGATGAGACCTACCGAATCGCCCATTTTCATATCTGAAATATATGTTGTTATCTTTATGTAATTCTCATTCATTAAAAAACGAAACTGATAAATGGAGACGATCAACGAAAAATGAAATACGAAGGAATAATGCTACAGAAGCGATAGCATTTACAGCGGTGATAACACTGCGACAAAGTAGGAACTATGAAGAGAAGTAGAGAATATAGAAAACCGTTACCTTGACCTGAGTGACATCTCCGCCAAGTTTACGACTTAGAAAACTAACAATCTCACACCGATTCTTAAGTTCCCACTGTCCCTTCAAATGCAATATTTTGCATGCAACGAGCAGTGCAATACAGATCGCGCTGTGTGCGGAATAGTCGCAGAACGAACAGAACGTTAAAAATAATGGCAGAAGAAAGACTCGGATTACTAAGTGAACGTCATTCAAATCTTAATTCGATATCCCTGCATTTTCTTAAGAAGGAACACAATGGTTGAGTGCTTTATTCATATGAATATGAGAGAAAAGAATGCAAGCGCCCTTTTTTTTGCGCAAATTGCACTTCTTAGCATCAACTTTTCCCTTATTTCTATGTGGAATTTATTCTATCATTTCTCAGGTAAGTATATCTTGCAGGACTTCTAAAGAAGTCATCATCCACAAAATATTTTGGGAAGACTCATCTTCCTTTTAAAACGTAGAGAGTTAAACCATTAAACTATCTATCCATCTTTATTTCTTTCTATCGGAGAACAGCTGGAGCATAAGGTTTCGCTTTCTTATTTCCTCTCATTTTAGTGTAAAACATAAATGAAGTGAAAGTGAAGGTTTCATGCAAGATCTATAAAAGAGTGACTGTGACTTGTTTGCACTTTGTTTTAAAGTTTAATTAGACCAGAAACTGATGGATCATTAAAGTTGGAAAATGTACTGGCAAAAAAGAGAACATTTTTGTCTTGTCAGATGGGAAATGATTTTACTCGTTCTATTAAAAAAAATAAATAAATAAATAAAAAAAACGAAACGAAATAAGAACTGGTCATATAATTTTTGGGTTTTTAACAAAATTCTGTGGATTTAATTAAATTTTCAGCCAGTTATGAAAATCTCTTTATTAACTTTCATCATGCATAATATCTATTGATAAAGTAAATTCACTGGCTAATTAGTTATAATAATGAAGTCCTTTATTCATCCATCAGTCTATAGTACTACTTTCATTTCCAGAAAATTCTGATCGGGAATTTTCAACTTTACGAGACAGTTGATAAAAAAGAACGAACGATTGGAATGAAGAAATTTAAAATTTTAGTTGTAGTCACTGTGAAGAAAACGAATTTTTCAAGATCTTTCCAAAAATTTTGCCAGGAAATTCTTAGAGATTCAAATCAAACAACACTTTGTAGAAAGCATTTTCTGAAAAGATACTAGTGTCTTTGCTTTTGTTTATCTTAAATTTGAAAATTCCGAATAATTTCAACAAAGGAAAATATAACATTCATTATAAAGGCGTAATTTGGAATGCAGTTTAGAAGTTATTGGTAGGCGACCTTCATGTCCCAGAAGGAATGTTGAAGAGATGGTGCCACCCCGTTGAGATCTGTTCCAAATTATTACATGCATGCACATACACATACACATGCATATACACACACACACACACACATACACATGCACATACATACATATGCACATGCACATACATACACATACACATGCACATACCAAGATAGAAATTTTCACATTTGTTACAGATTGGAGATGTTGATACTATTTTCGTTATATGTTTTCAAATGCGGTAAACAGGGCATGCCTTAGCTCATTTCTGGATAGGCTGACGCAGATTCTGACGCAAATGACTGTTACGACACTAACAATTCACGTTCTATCTCTCACTCTCAAATCGTTTTTTACTTTAATTGTTATGATAACAATATACCAAAATTGCTCAATTTTTCCTTTCATTGAAGAAAAAAAAAAATAGAAAATGGAAGTGGCTGATTTTTATTGGGACTAGATGAATTGATAATAAATTATCTTATCAGATAGTACTTATCAGCAGATATATCGTTGTATTTTGTTAATTTATGGAAGACACAAATGCAAGAAAATAAAAAGTATCGAATGCAGTTACGCTTCATTTTGGGACTATAAGACATTTTAAATAGCATTTCATTTCGGAATATAAAATGTTTTTAATCTTTTATTTAATCACAAATTTTCTTTTACTAAAAAATATAACTTTAAATACTATCAGGATTTTTGTATTTCTTTCTTATTGCTTTTTCTTTTCTTGCTTTTTCTTTAGTAATTTTCTGCAGTATAACAAATATTTTTACATTTTCGAAATCTTACCAAAAAAATTTTTCATCTCGAAGTCTTTTTAATTGACCAGTCTTTTGATATAAGTCTAATTCTACATTATTTATCATATATTTAATTTGTTACTTTCAAATAGACTTTTTTTTTCCTTCTACTGATTCTCAAGACAATTTTAAGAACTTTTTCTGCCTTTTATGCTAAGATTTCTTTCTATGTGCTTTTATCATGGATCTTAGGTATTCCTTTCCACTTTCTGCTGCCTGTTACTTTGGAATTTGCTTTAAGATATATTTGATTTTAATAACTGTTCCTGATAAAAATATCGAGAAACTGTTGATAAAGAGATAAACATTGGTTTTTCTCTCTAAACAAAGCTAGAAAATCTTCTGAAGCTGAAATTAGCACCTCTAATTTTCATCATGTACACAGTGTTCCATGGACTATATCAGGTTTGTTATCCTTACGATAACTAAAGTTATTAGCAATAATAATAATAATGTTATGAAATAATATTAATAAGCGCGAGAGGTATTTTTCTATTAAATGAAAAGTTTTGAAGTAACATTTCAAAGTAAAAAAAACAGGATAATAAAAATGATAGTTTCTTAACATTTATTTCGAATTTAAATTTGTGACGATTTTATTTTCAAATGAAAGTTATCAATTTGTAATCTTTATCTGTTATCAGATTAGTTTTTTAGCGGGCGCTACTTACCTTTGATTGAGTTGTTAGAGGTTTCATAAACATTTAATTTGGGTTCATTTTATGATACGCATAAATGAAACAATACTTTTAATTTCTATTTACTTTGTAAATAAGAGTTTTAAATTGTAACCTTATTCGTAGTGTAAGTTACACTTACAAATCACTGTTTTACTCTTTTAAAACATATTAGCCACGCATTTGTTTTCATTCCTTATTTTTTCTTTTGATTCACATCTTCAAAGAGCTTCAAAAGAAACTCTTTGAAGATGCGAATTTATTATTATTTATTTCCGGAAATTGGCTTATTTTGTTAGTTGTTGTTTAATTTCAGAATTTGTATGCTCGAAATATATGACGCATAAGGATGGATTAGTGATTGTTTCTAATATGCTCTCTAGAACTATTCATACTTTCTGAAGCTTCAAATAACTTGTATGGTAGCTTCTTTTATTTGAGGTTAACAAACGTGAATATGTGCGTTTTCTAAAAAAGTGCGCAAGTCCTACTTCCAACAAGATGATATCATATTTGAAGATTGCTTGATTCGAATCTAAAAAATTGAGCCACTGAATGTCGATAAGCTGCTCAGCACTACGTCAAACTGTACCACCATCAACTAGAAGTTCAGGACATGAATTAACAAATGGAACTTTCGGTTTTGGTGATACATCGAGTAACAGTGTAGATTCATTGATAGCACCCGAACGGGATGATCTAGATTTCCGAATTCAACAACGATTGGAAGCATCTCGACAAGGAATGTTGCAGCTGGAAGCGCTTCGCAGCAAACACCAAAAATTGATGCAGGTTAGTATTGTTCTGTTGTTTTTGATCTTTGATTCAAGTACTTGATATGAATTTGAAAGTTATTTTCATCTCTAAACAATTCTTTAAAAAAGTGAAAGAATGGAACCTATGAATTTTAGTAGATATAACATTAATAAAGGAAATAAACTTGATTTGTGATAAATATGATTTGGTTTCAAGATAAGAAATTATATTTTACATTCGGTGAACCAGATCTTTGGCTATTGCAGATAACAGATAATTATATTGACGTAAATTATATTGTGATTAAAACTAACTGTGTTTAGGGAAAACTGGTCCAAAATTCTGGATAAAGAAGTAATTGTAATTTAACATTCTTCATTAGACTAAATTTTACAGGAAATTATTTGTCTTCAACTACATTTGCTATAAGCACTGTCATGTTAAGAAATAGAAAGAGGACAGGAGATATTGGCTTGAAACTATTTCAAAATTTTTTAACTTTAAATTCCACTGTAAATTTAGGGAAAATTGTTCCAAAAGTAAAAATTTTTCAGGATAAACTAACATCCGTTAAAAGTATCATCTGATCATGGTGCACGTATTTAAATTAATTTTAATTGTTTAAATGAAATTTAATTGTTCTTTTTTCTCTCTTCAGGAAATGCGTATTCGCTTACCGCATAGAATTAATGGAGAACAGTCAAGCGATGGTTCCGAAAAGCATAAACAATCATCAGCTTTAAATGTTCAAACTGAGGTTAGCACTACTTTTGATTTTTTAGTCTTTCACTCAAAAGATTCTAGAAAAATGAGACAATAGGATGTAATGGGCCGTTGATTAAAAGATTAGAACTTGGAAAATATCTTTTCTCAGATTCATTGTTAGCGTCCTTTGTCATTTATTCATAATGTCGAAAAGAACTGATAATATAATTGCAGACATTTAAATTCTAAATTCTTTACTTCACTCAGGACTTTGTAAAGCAAGACATTAATGAATTTATTTCATATCAATTTTACAAAAGACTCCGTATTTCAAGAGTTTTGTGGCATTTCTCGGGAGATTCTATTTTATTGACCTCATTCACTTTGATCACGGAAGAGACTATCTTTTAATTATCTAATGATATCAATATTAATTCATTGTTCACTTTTTCTTGGCTGTCTGTGTATTTGTTCAGCTTTGATTATAGTCTATCTATTTTGATATGATAGCATGACAATAATGCTATGACATTATCA